ATATACAGTCAACCATGTAGGATTACCTTTCTTTCTGGGTTTTGTTTTCTTCACTTTACCCCAAAATGTGTGTATCTGTAATTGTTAGAAACATAGTACCAAATTATATGGAAAATATAATTTAAAATTATGTAAATGGTTTTTGGACAAAATTAAAACTGAAATAAATCGAAATAATAACGTAACAAAACTTATAGTACATAAATAGATAATGTGAGGCCCCTGAAAATTTTACTTTCTTAAAAGTCCCTTACTTTTAAATTATTTCCTTGAAGTCTTTCAGTTTATTAATTAATTGCAATTTTAACCCTAGGATCAAAATACTTGCGCCAGTTGAAAACTCGCAAACCCTAATCAATTTTGGTAACTTAGGAATAAATTCTAATACTGTAATATTGATTAATTGACTCCCTAAATGTGGAATTATCACTCGAACACCCTAGATTTTTCGGTTTTCATCATGTTCGTCGGTACATAGCCTTTTTATTCGAAACAAGAATCCAGACCGAATTAGACTCTCTAACCCTAATTTAATTTAATTCTACACTAAAAATAAATGTTTCAATTCATAAATTAAACCCAAAGCCCTCACATTTTTATTAAATAACAAATTGACCCCAAACAAGTACCATTATATATATATACATTTGTACCATAAAATCTTTTTTTAAACATTTTATTTTACAAACTCCAACAATTGTACACAAAAAAAAAAAAAAAAAAAAAAAAAAAAAAAAATATAAAACAAGACCCTCAAATCTCTAGCTATATAGATGAAATGAGTGCACTTTTGGAGGCAAACTTGCATAATTCAAGGAAAAAATCTTTGACTTGGTACAAACTTATATATATATATATATATATGTATGTATGTATATATGCAACTAGGTTGGTTTGATTAGGAGGAAAACCCTAACTAGATCATGTTTAGGAACCTAATTAAGGCCTCTAATCCTCCACTATTCCATTGAATTCAAACTATCCAATCTAGTTCCAACCAATGGCTATTTAAGACCTTTTGCACCAAATTCATTATAAAAACAACCCCTCCCATAGCATTTTACATGCAAGAACACACATACACACTATATTCAGCTGAGAGAGAAGAGAGGAAGGAGGGTGAGCTTGGTAGAAGAGAGGAGAGGAAGAAAAAGTTTGCTAGCAATTCCAACAATCCTCAATAAGCCACAACACAACTCTCTCTTATTTTTCCTTTCAAATAGTTACTCTCAGAAGTTTTAAACATTCATTTCAGATGTGTTTTGATGTTATTTTTGTGTTAAAAATGAAAGGAGTTGAGCCTTGATTCTACCCTTCTTGTATTTCTGTTAATCGATATAAGACTACCTTTTTCTATATCAATCTCTCAAAATTTCCAAAGGCACACCTTCACCTTAAATTTTTGAGTTTAATACATATTATTTAGCATGTTTTCATCACAAGAGAAGTGGAAAATTTCCCCTAGTTGACCTCTTTTCTCGCCAACTTTCTTATTGCAACAACTGTGCCAGAAAAATCTGTTTTACAGCCAACTTTCGAAGAGTCTAGAAAAATTTAGAAAAATATTTTGGACCTCAATTTTGTGTAAAAATCTTTCTTAAGGAGTTATCTTTCAAGGAAAATTGGTTTCCTTAAAAAAAGAGTGAGTGGTTTGTGAGAAAATCCTATTTTCGTAACGGTCGACGAATCTAGAAAAAGCTGGAGTATTTCTGAAATAACTAAAAATCGGAAAAAGATATTCCATTTTTGAAAAATGTTCTGAAAACTAAATAAAATTCTCTACGAACCATAGGAAGACCAAATTTGGGAAAAATCTGAAATAGTCCTTTTAATCTTGATCTTTAAGTGACTTTGAATCTGGAAATTCTATTTACATTGATATTTTGTGCTCTTGACTTTATGAATATGCTTACTTATATATAATCATGTATTGGTATGATATTATACATATCATGGTTATGTATTTTTTTTTCCCTTGATGATTCTTATAGCTATAAAAATTTATTTCAATTGCTTGTGCTAACTAACTTAAGACATGTAACTCAATGGGAAACTTAATTGGGATGGTATTGGATTTTCGATCACTTGAATAATGAAGAGATGATAATGTGTTATGGATTGATGGGGACGTGTTCCCTAATTGAAGGAAAGTCTTGTGAAAGCAGTTGTATCAGAGCCCTTGAATGGATCGGTTGTATTCAGACCCTAGGTGCTTATGATGGATAAGGTTGGAGGTTATGGGCAAGGCCCTTATTTTACTGTCTCTTTTGAGGTCATCGGTTGGCGTTACGCGGTAAATAACCGTTAGTATGCATCCGGTGTAAGGTCTGCAAAGCAGTAAAAGATGGGGCATACCAAATAATCCGAGTCCAATTCTTATGGTTGGGAGGATGAAATCTCTTTGGGGGATTTCTAGATTACTAACATCTAACCTTGTAATCCTTTATTATTGAATGATTATCATGCTTTATTACTTAATTGTTATAAATGTGATGGTGTATTGAATTGGGAAAAATGGATGGGGTGTGTGTGCGTTTACTGGGCATTCAAAGCTCATGGCATTTCATGCCAGGTATTGAAGACTATTAAACATGTCGAAGGCAACGCTGAAGTATTTGAAGACGTATGGGTATCCTATGAGAGTTAAGCACTAGTTATGCAAACATGTTTTGTGTTTGTAAGAGATTAATCTTTGTTATAATTAAGACTTGTTTGTTAATTAATATATATATATATATATCATTTGTAACCTATCCGTATACTCCATCATCTCATGTAGGCTTTACGTTAATACTTGTCAAAATCTGTCAAAAAGGTAGCTTTGCTATCCAAGGTGGTTGGATTTAGAAGGGATGCTATATTGACTCCTCTGACCTTCCTGGGATTTTGCTTAGTTATTAGCCAAAGGACTCATTAGTGACGTTTCCTACTCTTATAACCTTAGATAAATCTTGTATTTATTTGTTACTATATTCTTTGATGTTCCTGATTTTTGGGGCATCACAGATAAAAACTGATCGAGTTGAGTGTGTGACACTTTTTCTTTAAGACAGATTTGTCCTCCCATCGATGCTCAGGATTCAATGGATGTCTATTTCCCAGGATACAATGATCAACGTCTTACACTAGTAGCACTACTATTGCAAGCCTAGCGAACTTCGCTGTGCCTGCACTTTCTTTTTAAAAAAATTAGACTCAGGAAAATATGAAGAATAAATGCAAAGATGAAGGAGAAATAACGAATTCTCTGTCCAAATTGAAGTGAGGGAAATGGAATTTATAGATTCCTCCGTGACTCTTTGGAAAGGTTGTGACCCTTCAAAATGATACACTCTTCCATCTCAAGAGACACAACCATTGGAGTAAATTTTAATTCAAGTTTTCCAACAGTAATGACAAAAAGAAAACCTTTTTTTTCCCTTTTTTCCTGAAGTTGAAGGGAATTGTAGCAAGCAAACACCATAACAAAACACATGGAATTATGGGATGTAAGAAATGATGGTGGAGGAAGGGAGATTCGATTTTTGCATATCTAGTTGAATTTGATCTTCTAGGTATTTATTTAATTGAGTAATAGCTCTTTGATTGATTGAAAATTCCTAAAATTTCAATGAGGATTGAGGATAGATTTTAGAGATTTCAACGAGGATTGAGGATAAATTTCAAAGTACTCTTACATTGCGGAACTCATCATTGGAGATGAATTCAAATGAGAAAAACCCTCTTCAACTTGCTCAACAAACACCACAGACTAACTACCATCATTTCCTTCAGCAATATCATCGACAAAGAATCCAACTTTAGCAGCAACAGATGAAGCATCGAGTAGAAATGCCGTATCAGCAGAGCAATAGTAGTGTTAATCTGAATTTTGATAGCTCAACATGCACCCCCACCATGTCATCCACTAGGTCTTTTATCTCTTCATTGAGTATAGATGGGGAATGTTTCAAATTTGGATAGGAATGCCTTCCATTTGATTGGGACAACTGGCTCTTCTGATCAAAATTCTCAGCAACATAAAAGAAGGTGTTTTGGAAGAGAAGAGGAAGGTTGTGCAAAGGGCGGGAGTAGTGGTAGCAATGGAAAAGATTTAATGGAGGGAAAAAAGAAATGGCAAAGGAATTGAGGGAAACAGAAATAGAGGGGAAAATAAATTCATTTTGCTCTTGCTGGTTGACCAGTTGGTCGTCCTCCCGGACATCCTGTGTTTTGCTGATATCAAATAGAGGAATTGGTTATTTTTTACTCAAATTTGATGAAATTTTTGGTAAACCGTTAGAGATGTCCTAATAGATTTTCATTAATTTTTTTTTATCAAAAGACACAAGACTCATTACTTTGGATTTATTAGTAAAAAAATTGTGTAAAGAATGTTTAATATTTTGAAGCATATTTCTATGTGTTGAATATAAGTTAACAATATCCTTATACTGTATTTGGTTGGGGGTTTTTGGGAAGGATTTAGAAAGGGAAAAGAAAAAGGTATTGTGAAATTAAGTAAAATGTAACTATATTTTATTCACATTTCACTTATCTTTTCCATTTTTCTTTCCAAAATCCCTCCTCAAATCTCCGACCAGACACAATATTAGAGTACATATTAATGTCATATAATATTACCAATTAACTAATAAGGTTAAATGAAATAAGATATAAATAAAAAATGTTATGAATCCCAAATAATCTACCAAATATTTTACAAAATCTCTTACATGAGTGTGGGACCCACACAAACTCACATGTGTGTGGGTCCCACACCCATATGAGAAGTTTGGTAAAATATTTGGTGGATTATTTGAGATCCTTAGCATTACTCGATATAAATTTCAAACTCCTTCATCTCTTTGTTCCAAAAATATTTATAATTATTGAATTGCGTCAAAATTGTCATATAATTCAAAAAGTAAAAATGTTAAAAAAAAATTTAAAAAATAAAAGACACATAATGCTTAGATGTCTCTTTCCATGCCCCAAATTCGAACGGTCCGATGAAAATGAGCAAAAGCAGCCAAAACCCTCACAATTTGATCATCGTTCAAAATCCCCATTACCATCATCGCCGTCTTCACTCTCAGATTATCACCACACTTCACAAGCTCCTCCATCACCGATCTCAGCCTCTCGATCAGTAATTCCACGTGATTCGCATCTCCGTTCACCGCCGTCCTCGCCGCCTCCATCAACCCTAGCGTCACCATCCTCGCTTGAACCTTAACCACCTCCTCCTCCAATTCCCTCTCTTATTCTCTTACTTCTGCCGCCAATCTTTCCAATCTCCTCATCTGCACCTTCGATAGATCCACCATGTACTTCTCTACGAGTTGAAAAACGAGTCCTGGTTTGAACCCTGCGATCCAGAGGAACGAGCGCTCCAGTGAGTTCAATCAAGTCAGGGACAAACGAGGTACACATTCTGTTGAATTGCTCTCAATTTTTCAGCATAGTATTGTTTGTAGTGAGTGGAGATTCGAGCGATTAGATCTCTAAATCTGACTTCATCTTCTTCTTCTTTGATTCATTCTATGATGAACTAGCCAACCATTGAAGAAGACTTGAAAGGCTTCGACATTGTCGAGTTCTTCAAATCTATTGCGAGACATCTCTACATTGTGAAATCAATTTGAGATACCATTTGATGAATGAGATTGTAGACATTTATATATAGTGTGATTGTGAGGCGAGTCGAGATTTGCTTAGTGAAGAAGGGATTTGATTGTGAATTTTGTGATCCCTAAGACAAAATAGAGGATTCGAGTTTCGTAGTAATCCTTTTTCAGTTAGGTAGTCCATTACAAAACAGTCAGCAACTGTCAAAATACCAAAAATGCTGGAAACAGAAATTTTAAATATTAAACGAATTATATGGAAGTGGATGTCATACATCTATGTAAATATTATATAAAATATTTAATAATTCATACTAACATTACTCGTTAAAATATATATGAAAACACTTTTTGAGGGGGTATTTCATAGGAGTCCGAATCCCCTCCTTGCATCTCCTCCTTGCAACAGTTGAGATCAGCCGTTGCACATCCAACAACCATAAAAAAAAATATAAATTAAATTGAAATTTCATTTTATTCCCGCCCGTTGCTATAGTTATACATTCAAGCACAATCACTCTCACTTTCACTCAGCCTCACACTCACCCATCTTCCTCCACCAAACCCACTATCACAGGCGACCAGTCTCCTAGATGGCACTAGCGACCAGTCCTGACGACGACCCACTCCAGCCCTGATATTCTCTGCTTCGTGAACCATAGCTGCACCGCGACCACCGCCATCGGCTGAGCGAAGAAATTTCTTGATGAGAACGTGGGTTCTGAGGCCATAAAGGAACCAAGTTTGTCTTCGAAACTCTGAAATTAAGAAGTTAGGGTTGTGTGATTGAGATTGAGAAAATAGATTTGAAATTTCAAAATTAGGGTTTTGATTTGGGATTCGAACAGGGAAAAATTAGGGCTTTTAGAGTGGGTGTGTTTTTGTGTGTTTTGGATGAATCAGTATCCATAAACCTATTTAATTAGTTTGACAAATTGATTAATTTTCTACTTGTTTTTGTAAAGAATTTTTGTAAAGTTCTTGAATAGGCTTTGAGGAAATAAAATAATGTTGTAGGGTACAATTTGAAAGATCGAGTTGTAATTTCTTTTGGCTTCATTATGTAATACTGTTCCTGCAATGTTTTTAACTTTTCAAAAACATTATCCCTTGTGAAATTATATCCATGACACTAGTTTGAACTTAAGTTTTCAAATTAATACCTCCATTTGGCCAACACTTGTTGAGCAATCAAACTGCAAGATGAAAACTGTCATTATAATTGAGTTCAGAAAAACAACTATAACTCAAGCAGACGTTATGCACTAGTGGAAACACATAAATAAAAAATTACTGTACTCAAATCAAAACTTGCAGTAAATTTTGGCTATTGACAAAACTGATGAAGCATACATGCGACAGTTTTAAGCTAGCATACACCAAACTACACTACAATGCAGAAAGGATTTAAGAGAATTATGCAATTCTGTTGAGCAATCAAACTGCAAGATGAAAACTGTCATTATAATTGAGTTCAGAAAAACAACTATAACTCAAGCAGACGTTATGCACTAGTGGAAACACATAAATAAAAAATTACTGTACTCAAATCAAAACTTGCAGTAAATTTTGGCTATTGACAAAACTGAAAATACTAAAATAGGTACAAGGCAGTTGTAAAACTTCAAGGCCACTCTTCTCTTGTACTGTTCAACAGTTCCTTCTCAGCAGCCAAACAAAAGAGAATCTTAAAAATTTCATTACATTCTGTTTTTTAAAAACTAATATTATTGTGCGAGTGATTTTCTGGCCACACTGCTCGCTTAGTAACCAGCTGGAGAGCACCGGCAGAATAGATGGCACCTGGCTGACCTGCAACAGAAAGAGAAGATTCTGGCCGTGGTTCGTCCACCTGGGGGCACTCCGATGATCAAGTCAGTATATCTCTCAAAGATAATCAAGTGCTAAACTCACAAGCTTGAGTATCAAAAGCATACCTTAGACCCATGGGGGTGCCTCTCTTTTATAGCCAATACAATCCTAGTCCCAATAGGAGCCTGGCCCTAATGGACTTAGGATTATTGCTAATCCTGGACTCCTAGTAGGATTAGGATAGACCCTCTAAGAGTCTTATCTTTACCCAAACTGAAGTCTTCTCCCAATCTAGGACTCTTGTCCATATCTAGGTTGAGTTCCCTCTTTATTCTAGGACTCTTGTCATTTTTCCGCTTGTCTCGGACTCCGATATCTTCTGAGATAACCTTGGCCTTGCCAAGATCACCTCGGCGTCACGACCAGGACACGTGGCACCTCGGCTGACACGTCGACATCACCTCGCCACGTGTTGGTACTCAGAAAATATATCTCCACAACTGCCCCCTAGGTTCTATTACCTCAGCATTCTGAGGTAATGGAACCTACACTGTATGTTCATCTGTGCCCCTCTGTCCAAGATCAAACTCGCCGACCTCAAAGTTCCCTAGACTTTACTGTCCACTGGTGTCAAAAATCAAGTTTCATGCTTTCCAAGCTGCTTTAAATCGCACTGCTCTACTCACACTCTCTGGTGAGTTCCCGATTTCCAGTCATCTATTTGACGCCGACGATTTTCATATCGGCGTTCATTTCACTTTGTAGGTTCATAAACTCTTTACTTGCTATTAAGCTCAATCTTTCATAACTCTTCTGAATCTGCTTCCTTGCTATCTGTTGCCTTCTATTTTCGTCTGTCTTCAAGTTTTGAATTGTTTGAATGCCTGGCACTGTTCTTGTCATATCCGCTTTCTGTTGCTAGCATCGTGTCTGGGTCATTACTTTCTTGTTCTTCACATACTTACTTAGTGCCTGTGCACTTGGCTTTATTCTTGAACTTTGTCGTCTTCTTGACTATTTTTCTCTTTTTTCATTCAATCCTCTGGCTTTTTCTCTTTCTAGCTCTTTTGCTTAAATCTGTCATTGTTCCAAGCTTTCAAGCTCTGCAACTGTCTTCGTTCATCTCCTCCGGTGAAGCTTACGTCATTCTATCATTGTCGTCAGACTTCGGCAATTCTCATTCCGGCTTCCCTCTTTCTGGTAAGCCACTGTTCCTCCTAATTTTATTTCTTGTTGCTTTCCAAGAATCTTTGCTTCACTGTTAATCACCATTGCTGTTTTACCCGTTGTTTCCAAATTATCTTCTTGAATACACACTGTTCACACATCTGTTGATTTCTGCCACTGTTCTTGGCTTGACACACTTGTGCAATCTTTTTGTCTTGATTTCCTGATAGCTTCATCACCATTCTAGCGTTAAGCATTACTGCGGTTTAATTTCAACTTGTAAATTGCTACAAATTTCAACAAGCGTTAAGCATTACTGCGGTTTAATTTCAACTTGTAAATTGCTACAAATTTCAACAAGCGTTAAGCATTACTGCGGTTTAATTTCAACTTGTAAATTGCTACAAATTTCAACAAGCGTTAAGCATTACTGCGGTTTAATTTCAACTTGTAAATTGCTACAAATTTCAACAAGCGTTAAGCATTACTGCGGTTTAATTTCAACTTGTAAATTGCTACAAATTTCAACAAGCGTTAAGCATTACTGCGGTTTAATTTCAACTTGTAAATTGCTACAAATTTCAACAAGCGTTAAGCATTACTGCGGTTTAATTTCAACTTGTAAATTGCTACAAATTTCAACAAGCGTTAAGCATTACTGCGGTTTAATTTCAACTTGTAAATTGCTACAAATTTCAACAAGCGTTAAGCATTACTGCGGTTTAATTTCAACTTGTAAATTGCTACAAATTTCAACAAGCGTTAAGCATTACTGCGGTTTAATTTCAACTTGTAAATTGCTACAAATTTCAACAAGCGTTAAGCATTACTGCGGTTTAATTTCAACTTGTAAATTGCTACAAATTTCAACAAGCGTTAAGCATTACTGCGGTTTAATTTCAACTTGTAAATTGCTACAAATTTCAACAAGCGTTAAGCATTACTGCGGTTTAATTTCAACTTGTAAATTGCTACAAATTTCAACAAGCGTTAAGCATTACTGCGGTTTAATTTCAACTTGTAAATTGCTACAAATTTCAACAAGCGTTAAGCATTACTGCGGTTTAATTTCAACTTGTAAATTGCTACAAATTTCAACAAGCGTTAAGCATTACTGCGGTTTAATTTCAACTTGTAAATTGCTACAAATTTCAACAAGCGTTAAGCATTACTGCGGTTTAATTTCAACTTGTAAATTGCTACAAATTTCAACAAGCGTTAAGCATTACTGCGGTTTAATTTCAACTTGTAAATTGCTACAAATTTCAACAAGCGTTAAGCATTACTGCGGTTTAATTTCAACTTGTAAATTGCTACAAATTTCAACAAGCGTTAAGCATTACTGCGGTTTAATTTCAACTTGTAAATTGCTACAAATTTCAACAAGCGTTAAGCATTACTGCGGTTTAATTTCAACTTGTAAATTGCTACAAATTTCAACAAGCGTTAAGCATTACTGCGGTTTAATTTCAACTTGTAAATTGCTACAAATTTCAACAAGCGTTAAGCATTACTGCGGTTTAATTTCAACTTGTAAATTGCTACAAATTTCAACAAGCGTTAAGCATTACTGCGGTTTAATTTCAACTTGTAAATTGCTACAAATTTCAACAAGCGTTAAGCATTACTGCGGTTTAATTTCAACTTGTAAATTGCTACAAATTTCAACAAGCGTTAAGCATTACTGCGGTTTAATTTCAACTTGTAAATTGCTACAAATTTCAACAAGCGTTAAGCATTACTTCGGTTAAACTTCAACTTGTAAATTGCTACAAATTTCAACAAGTGAAGATAAACAATAATCTTGGCTTAATTTTAACTTGTAAATTGCTACAAATTTCAACAAGCGTTAAACATCATATCGGTTTAACCAACTTGAAAATTGCTACAAATTTCAACAAGTGGTAAACATATTCTTCTTCTCTCTGCCCCCTGCATGGCTTCCACATACTCCTTTGCGAACCTTATAAAAGGCCTTCAACCTGGCTAACTGCAGTCCAACCTTGTGTGTTTTCTTTTTTATCTTCTGGGATCTGAGATTTGCTCACTGAGCTCTTCTCTTTTCGGACTTAAGTGACGAGATCTTGTCTGCTAGAATCTTGGATCTGCTCACTTAGGTTGAGCTCTTCTCTTCTCGGACCTACTCATCTAGGCCGAGATCATGTCTTCTAGGATCCGAGATCTGGAATCCAGGATCTGCTCACTCAGGTTGAGCTCTCGTCTTCTCGGGCCTACTTGTCTAGGCTAAGATCATGTCTTCTTGGATCCGGGATCCAGGATCTGGAATCCGGGATCTGCTTACTCAGGATGAGTTCTTCTATACTTGAATGTTATCTCCTTAGGAGCGCTCATGCCCCTTGTCTTTGCATCCCTTCTGGAAGGGTCTTTGTTCCTCCGCAGGTATCTATCCTTCCATACCTGGAGGTCATCTTCGTTGTAGTATCTGCTTTGATTTGTTGTCTTTGGTGCGTCACCTTCCTGGCCGGCGTCTTTCACTCCGTGACTTTGGTCACGAGTTTTTGTGTTACTATTGTCCCCTTCAATGTCGAGGTTGATAGATCTCTCATTCCCAGCACGAGCGTTGTCTCCTGTCTGATCATTCTGTCTGTTACTGGCCATCTATTCTTCTTTCTTTTATTGGCCATCTATTCTTCTTTCTTTCCCACAGACGGCGCCAAATTGTGTGAGTGATTTTCTGACCACACTGCCCGCTTAGTAACCAGCTGGAGAGCACTGGCAGAATAGATGGCACCTGGCTGACCTGTAACAGAAAGAGAAGATTCTGGCGGTGGTTCGTCCACTCGGGGGCACTCCGATGATCAAGTCAGTATATCTCTCAAAGATAATCAAGTGCTAAACTCACAAGCTTGAGTATCAAAAGCATACCTTAGACCCATGGGGGTGCCTCTCTTTTATAGCCAATACAATCCTAGTCCCAATAGGAGCCTGGCCCTAATGGACTTAGGATTACTGCTAATCCTGGACTCCCAGTAGGATTAGGATAAACCCTCTAAGAGTCTTATCTTTACCCAAACTGAAGTCTTCTCCCAATCTAGGACTCTTGTCCATATCTAGGTTGAGTTCCCTCTTTATTCTAGGACTCTTGTCCTTTATCCGCTTATCTCGGACTCTGATATCTTCTCTGAGATAACCTTGGCCTTGCCGAGATCACCTCAGCGTCACGACCAGGACACGTGGCTCCTCGGCTGACACGTCGGCGTCACCTCGCCACGTGTTGGTACTCAGAAAATATATCTCCACAATTACAGTTGTACATAAATACCTAATTATCTACTTTGGGTAGAATAAATGAGAAAATCCTAGTAAGTTACAAATCAACTTTTATGTTGTTGTAGCCGAACTAGGTGTTTCATTGGCTTCAATGAAAGTAAGTTAAGAAACAATGAGTTAAGTCAATCCTTGACAGATGTTACAATTCTACAAGAATAAGAAAAAGAAAAAATCCAGTCACTCTCAAATAGAAGCAGCATGTACAAATTAAGCATTTAAATAACCTCAATAATGCCAATCTGACTCCTCTATAAAACTATATATATATATATATATATATATTTAAATCAAATTGTTCCACATTGTAGTTGAAAATTGTTCCATTATACTAACTATTCCCATTTATCAGATGAAATATCAAGAAATAATATAGTTCCTGAAAATGAAATTCCAAAATCTAGTATTGCATACAATTAATCTAGCAAGTCTTGATATTTTACCCAAATACAAAATATTATTATTGAATCCATCATAGAGAAATAAACTCACTCAATATGCAAGCAATAGGGCTCAACAATTCTTTCTTGGTTTTGTAGTACAAATGCTATGTTTGTTCAGTTTGGCTCAAACATGGCAGTTTGAACAAATAGATGGTTTTAGTGAAGATGTAAATTCCCTCTAATTCAAATAGCCTTCACACTCTGTCCGTTTCCTCTATGGAACTGCCATTACTTTTGTTATGCGCATAACTCTATACAACTGCTATTAACCTCATCAAACACAAGCATAACATTACAAATTTCTCATGTATGCAGATTTAAAAAATGGCTTCTTCTTCTAACAATAACAAAATAAGATTACAACCGAGGTTGTGCAATTGTGGAAAAACCGCTGCCATATATATTGTAAGAACCAATGAGAATGGAAATCAAGGGCGTTTGTTCTTTGTTTGCCCGTCAAAATATGTAAGTATGTATTGGAAAATTTAATCCTTTAGTAGTCACATTAATATTTGTCTTATTCAACTAACTGATTATCATGCATTGTAGAGTAACACTCCCACTCCCCATTGCAATTAGTTCAAGTTCGTGGATGAAGATGATGAAGACGTTACGTCCATAATCCGTTCCAACACTCGAGCTTGTGATGCTATAACAGTAGAAGATTTTAATGATGTAAGGACGAGGCTTGATGACATGGAAAATGACTATGGTCGAAGGCTTGAAAGGATGGAAAATAATATCAAAGCGATGGTGTATTTCATTGTATTTTCTATCATTTTGTACTTTATGATGTAACTTTTGTACTTTATTGTATTTTGGAAAATTGAATGGAAGGTTCTACCATTTTGGGTTTTATTGTACTTCATGATGTAACTTATGTTTATGGAATGAATTTTAATGTTGAACTTAGAACTGCCATTACTTCATTATGGAATGAATTTTGGGAAACATTGGTCTCATTATTAGAGTTGACTCATATTCTTAAATTCAGCTGTAGTCAATAGCCACCACTTGTTTGTTTGGAGCATAATGAGGACCATGATCACTTATTTTTTGATTGCCCTTTCTGTCAAACAATTTGGCAGTGGCCTCAATTTGTTATCTGTTAGCAAGTTTTTTTATTGCTCTCACTTATTAGACATAGATTATTATCTGTTAACAAGTTTAAAGCATATCATTCTATTTGCTGCAGGTTTGGCACATTTTGGTTTGACACCAAAGAACCTTATACATTTTGGTTTCAAACCAAAGAACCTCATACATGTTATGGTTCTATGAGTATGGCACCAGCATGTTCCTTCAAACCCAAACCCAAGCATCTAAACAAAATTGCATTAACTAAAATTAAAAAAAGAAAAAGAAAAAAAAGATCATCAACTGAAATTCACTAATTTTTACCAATATTAGTAATTGAACAGCATGACAGAAAGGCACCACTTGTGAAAATTCAATAAGTTGATCATCTCATGTAATTGAACTAATCCAAGTTGGTGCCTTTCACAAGTTGCTGAAATTCACTAATCCACTTGTGTAATTGAATAGCATGACACCTGTAGGTCTTCAAAAATTAAGACACCAATTTAGGATAATTTTTCTAACAAATGAAAAAGTTGTGTCCCTGTTCTTTCACACCAAAGAAAATCTAAAAATTTCAACACACACATTGGTCCATTTATTCCTTTTGAAACAATCAGTCAGAAGAAAATGAAATATAACATCAAGTGTAGCATTGACACTAACAAACCATACAAAGGATAACATCAAGTGTAAATACAAGCCATTAACATTAACAAAATGTGGAACTACAAGCCATTAACATTAACATCAAGCCATTAACATTAACATCAAGTGAAGTCATAGCAGCAACATCACTTTCCAGCAGTAGTTTGCTTTACAATTTGCTTCACAGTTTCAGCTACTATGACTTTGATTTGCAGTGCGTTCCACCTCTTTCTGCTTGTCGATAGCCTAAAACGGAAAAAGACAGAATTTTCCACAATTTTCAACAACTAAATACATACTTTAAACATAATTTTCAGCAAGTAAATACATGCTCTAACAAAATTTTCAGCAACTAAAGAGCTAGAATTTTCAGCAACAAAAAATTAAAAAGACAGCAAGGAAAAACCTAACTACATATTGGACTATTTGATTCTTGAGAATATTGAAACCCAATGTCATATCCACATGAACCTTGAAGTAGTGACTGGAATGTTGGTTGAGCAGAATACTGTTGAGGCATTGAATTTGGCAAAGAATTTGGCACTACATACACCTCCCACAAATTGTTCGCCTGCAACAATGTCATATATTAGGTTTCGCAATCATGGTTTGAGTCACATATTATATCCACACAGAAAATACAATGTTAAACTAATACTTACATGATAGGTGGGATACATCAATGGCGGAGGAATAGAATTACCACCCATGGCCAAAGATGGAGGAAGGGGATGATGGGGAAGAAGAGATTGAAGAGGAGGAACATGTTGATGAATATAGATATCTCCTCCAACAGATAATGGAGAAGGTGTAACTGTTGGACTAACTGTTGGACTTGCAATAGATTTTGACGAAGCCAAGTTGTTAGCACCGGATTTTTTTTGGAGTTCGCTACCAATGCCGCTTCGAATCCACCTTTTACCCTCATTTTGCCTTTACTAGTTGCCACCTTTTCTTCAATCCTTTTGGTTGCACAACATGATTCACATCTTCGCAATCCACTTCAAAGCTTTGGGTGTCATCATCATTACTTACTTCAATTCCAACACCAAAATGAGCACTTAACCTGCGTTCAACATTTGCACCTAATTTAGCAAGGTGTGCAATACAAAAATCATAAGTTTCTTCAGTTTCAGCAGCTCTCCTTGCTAGTGCTCTAAATGCGGTCATCAATGTCTTATATCGCGAGACTTGTTGGAATTTCACATCTACTTGAATGTCATTCCCCTTAATGTCCTTCACAGTTTCGGCTCTTGCTTGTTTAGTCCACCTCTTTAGAATGTATTGTGGAGGAACCTCTTTCATCTTCAATATGTCTCTAATAACCTTCAATGAGTGACAACACAAGATTCCTTCCCTTTCAAACTTTGTACAATTACAACCCAAAGAGCCATCCCTCTCCATCTTCACTTTCCTTGCATGTTTGTTACCAATATCAACAACTGTGTAAATGATACTAGCCTTGCCATATTCAATTGCTTCTATGTCCGATTCAATGGATCGAAAGTACTCATTTTGAAATTTCTCAAAAATATTTTTTGTGTACACATTACCCATTTAAATTAACATTCTTATTGTTGCTTTCACCTTTGGCACAAAGCATATCCTACTTCTAACTCCTTGTATCGCTTCTCGTAAAGTACCATTTCGAAATGCATGAAGAATTCATTTAAGTTAAAATCAGAACGAATGTAATCCTTTAAAAAAGTATTAAAAAATTTACTAAGTTATGTGGTACTCATTCCCGTAGCCCATGTTGATCTAACATATGACCAGTCCCATTTTTCTTTCACCGTAAAAGTCAATTTCAACCAATGGTTTTCATGCGCATCATATTTATCAAGCATTTCCGCCCACTCTAACTTCCATTGATTTGCATCTTCAATGTTAAAGAAGAATTTATTTAGTACACCCTTTACCCCCCCTTATCTTGGAACAAACAATTAACATGTTTTAATGCATTTTGTATCAAATGCCAAGTACACATTCGGTGACTCGTGTCAGGCATAACGATGGGTATGGCTTTAGCCATTGCAGCATCTTGATCAATGAACAAAGTTTTTGGTGCCTTTCTTGACATAGCCTCTAGAAAATTTTGAAACAACCACACAAACGATTTGGTGGTCTCATCATACAACAAGGCTGCACCAAATATAATTGTTTCCCTATAATTGTTGAATCCCACAAAAGATGCAAAGGGTTTATGTTCTTTGTTTAACTTGTAAGTCGTATCAAATGTGACAACATCACCAAATTGGCCATAATCCATGATCATTTGTGCATTGGCCCAAAATATATTCATTATTTACTCCTCGTTATCTGACTGAAAAGCATAAAAGAAGGAAGGATTCTGCAAAGATTTTTTTTTTAAAGTATTGCAGCACATTGCCTACTTCCCCATATGCTAAACTTTGTTATCTTTTGGTTCTCAAATAATTTTTTTGATCTAATTTTGTAAACCCAAGACATTGCCTCCCACCAGTTTCCCTACCCATGAGTTCAAAAGACTAGACTAAATGAAGACCAGATTGTGCCGCCAAATCTAATTCAATTGCTTGGGTAGTCGACATCTTTCTTTGTGACGGCAACATGTGGGCACACTCGGGTGATACATGATCATGGTTGTGTTTTTCTTTGAAATCAGTCACAACAAATTTTCGAGTACCCTCATCTAATTTAACATAAAGTCGAGCCTCACAACCAGTCCTAGTTTTAGCTCTAGGGTTTTTTGCCAATGGGTCTCGTTTTTCAACCTTTCGAAATCCCTCCTTGTTGTAAACCAAAAGTCTACAAATAAGTTGGTTAGTGAACTTGTTCTTCCTACAATAATCTCTTCTTATGCTAAACCCTATTCTTCCTCCATATGTATTACAAAAATCATACACACATTGTTCAGAATCAAATGTCATTCCCTGTTTTGGCTTCCAAGCACAATCATTCTCAGGTTTCATATCCATAACAAAATGCAACTGAAAACCCATATAAATAAAATCTTAGCTACATCAATAAAATCTTTATTTCAGAGACAAAAAAAAAAAAAAAAAAAAAAAAACACAATATCTGCACTATGATTAAAGAACTCACTGTCACACTTGGATAAAGAAACAAGAAATGAGAACTAAGGAGTGAGACCCAATTAAGATCAAATAATAAATCAATTAAACTATATAATCCCAAACTCCAACTACTTGGTTCTTTTTAAAGTGTCTAAGAAAAGGTATGCAAGCCAAGTAACTTTGGTAACACTGATTCATGGGCAACAAGAGTCATTTAGTTTTGGGTTGGGTCACTACACAGGGTTTGGCAAGCCTATTATAGCTCAACGGATAGGAAATAACATAAAAATACAAATTGTGAACTTTAAGAGCTTGACCATCAATTATAACAAGTGAATTCTTTTATCTGTCTATATGTTCACATCAAGCAATGGTACATCTAACTGCCCTAAAAAACACTGTCAATTTACATTTCACCTTTCGGCACACAAAACTGCCACATTAAGCATGTTTTAACCAAACAATGTGATTGATTCCAAGAGTAACAAGCTACACTTGAACAAAGTGTCAAATAATAAGTACTTGTCATATATTAGCAATCAAGAGCAAGACAAGAAAGTACCATAAACTAAATTTGAAAGCTTAATGCACAACTACAGATAGATCTATATACAGACATCTAGACAAAGACATTAAGCCTTAGAAGACCCAAATTGTAAAAGGTGAATTTTCCTCCATTTTAGTCAAACCCAAATGGTAACAATTATAACAAATTGTTAAAAAACAATGTGTAACAAATTGAATTAACAGTCATGACTCACGACAAAGTCATCAATTATAACAAATTGTAAACAAACAATGTCTTTACAAAGCTTAAAGATTTAAAAAATAATAATAAAAAATCGAAAGACAAAAAAATATTTCAGAGAGATAAACTTACAGTCACATGAAGACTAACCTCTAATTTCAGTTTGAAAAAATTCCAAACAAACACACAAAATGCAGGTCAATTACAGAGACAGAGACAATGAAGACTAACCTTTGGTTTGCGAAGTGAGGGCACATAGAATGAGGGCAAAGAAATGGGTTCGGTTTGGGGAGTGGGTCGCTGTAGAGAGGGTTTGCCGGTGAGGTGGAGGAGAAGAGCGTGACGGCTCTGGTTTTCTCTCTAGACAGAATCTGTAACGGCGTCGAGAGTGGGTCACTGTCATCGGA